TAATGCAGAATATGCAATGATAAATATTTAATTGATGAGCTGTTAATGTATATAACAATACAAAATATACGGGTATGGTTTTACAGCTAAATTCAGCATATTGACACAAAATGATAACTGCAAATCCACCTTTGGCTGACTGGAGACCAGTTGTTTCTGTGAATTGTGTAACCCCTCACACCCGGGTCCTACTCGACCCGCTCGGGCCTCGAACCCGGGTCTCCAGCTGAGGACATTTACTGAACCGATCCGATCCACTCCAAACGACTATTAGCCTAAACATTATTGTTACATTACGTTTCAGTAGATATCCTCAAACATACATGTCTAAACATTATAATATTCACCACTGAAGAATAACCAAGCCTTCTTTATATCATGCTGTGTTTAATATCAATGATAAAAACGATCTCATTTCTCACAACTCCATTCTCATTTCATAACAACATTATAGTCTGGCACCAGTTTAACTAGTAGCTACAATGTAAAGTATCTATATACAACCGTAAGATACATATTATTATGAGTCTTACCTTAATAACTTCCAAACTCGACGCAAGGCAGAGACGCAGATTCTTTGTTTAGATGTAATGAGGGCGGTAACAGCTCTGCACTCCTCTGCGTGGATCATTTGAATTTGAATAGCTCGCGCGCGTGTGGGCGTGGCCGCATTAGCGCTAATCAGCTCGGTCTGGACTCTGGAGAACTGAACATGTCGTTGCTTTCATACGGATTACTTAAACAGAGAATACTTGTTTTTGGTATGACTTACATCTTTGTAAAGACATAACTCTCACGTGTGTGTGTGTCAAGTATTTTCTGACTTAAAGATCAGTTTATGTCACGTCCCGGACCAGGACGTGTTGGCCCTTTAGATACAGGAGAAAAGCTTTCAGTGAAAGACCTCTCATCTCTAGACAGTTTGTGTGTAGGTGCCTCTCCGGGCTTGACCATAGGTCAGAGATGGGCCTGCCCTCGTAAAAGGCCCCCCAACCTAGTTTGGAGGCATCTGTCAAGATTATTTTTCTCTTTGAAACTGCACCCACACTCACTTCCCGAACATAAAACGTAGCGCCTGTAAAAGCCCAACTCGCTTTGTGATAGAGGGACTGGAGGTTCAACAGCTTCCTTTTCTAACAGTTTCAACACTTCGGTGAAAAGGACGTGTGACACATCTCTTCTCAGTGTCGTCTCTACCATGGCTAAAAAGTGCAGAGGTCTGCGAGCAAACTGTAGCAAATAGCATCGTTTTATTATGTTCAACATCCATTCTGATATACCGGGGATGGCCTCCCATGCCTTGCCTCCCATGACAGATGTGTGATAGGGACCCGGCCGGCCAGCCGTCTTGTGCTTGTAATGCTGTGTGAACAGCGCTTATGTGCAGGGGCATGTGCTTTATAGCGGGTGCACATTTCATCACATCTCCAGCGTGAACTGGAGGAAGAAGAACTGATACTATGGAAACAGTTTTCGTTTGTAGGGGTACATTTATTACATCTCCTGCAGTGGGCACACAATCTACATTTATTGCATTTGCAACATGAACTGGAGATACTGGAACTATGGGAACAGTGCTTGTGTGTAGGGAGCGTACTTTAGAGTGGGCACGTGACCTTCATATGACACAGAGAGAAAAGAGCTCCTTTCGTGTTTTATTTGTATATAGCTTCCAGTTCAGGACCAGACTCATCCATTGAGTGGAGAAGTTTGGCCTGAAAAACCGTGAGGACAGCCATGGTGTGAAGCGACGAAACAGCTTGCCAGCGGTGGCATATGCGAAGCCAGCGAGAGCTGAAGTTGCGCGGCAAGGCTTGGACAGGAGCAATGCTTTGGCCTTCCATCCTGTAGCGGTGGTCGGGCAATGGTGCACGGCCAACGCTTCCTTGAGGGGAGGAATCGCCTCATAGCCTTTCTCCACAGCGTTGTCTACAGTGGAGAGAGTCGAGGAGAAGGAAAGATTTAAGCGAGCTGAGTGTGGCGCTTTCCACAAGTTGTTTCCACAACAAGTCAGTTCATCGTGCACTTCTGGGAAGAAGGTGGCGGGTCTCTGCCGAAACCGCTCATCCAGCCTGCTGCACGCGGGCCCTGGTTAGCACGCAGAGAAGCTCTGCATCAATGCTCATTCTCACACTGGCTTGTGTTGATGGTGCGGGGCCAGAAACTGAGCCCACCCACTTGTCGGATTCGGATGCAACAATGGAAAGTCTGTCATTCTTTTCGTCGTCCTCGTCCGATGCTCCAAAAGAGACAAGATCTGCCACTCGTAGAGAAGGGCGTTGGGTACGTTCACAAGGGCATTCTGACCTCCAGTTGTCTCACCATTGTCGTAATAGTAAGACTGATCAGACTTTCATCCTCCTCTTCTGGTGGAGAAGGTGGAAGATAACTTAAGTCATTGTCTTAAGTCATTGTCTTCTTCTGGAACAGCTACTCCTCCTTCTGACTCTAAATACAGGCCATATTTACACAAAGCCGGGTATTTAAAGAAACAAATATTTTCCCCCTCTCCATTTTCAATAATAACATCGTGCACACACGCGTATAAATACGCTGTCGAGCGCCATCATATCTATGCCAAACCTATGGGCGGCAGTGTAGGGAGAAGGATAAAGCCATGCAAGCAAATCAGAATCCTCAGAATCGACAAGAGAGAACTGAAAACGCCGTTTCTCCCAGTTGACACGACAACACATAACCGGTGTTTTCAGAAATCTCCACTTTGGCCGGAGTTTTTAGAAATAATCATTTTCTGTGATAAAAACAGGGTTTTCGTGTAAATGAGAGGCCAAACCGCAGGGAAATATCTGTGTTTTCCCTTCTTGTAAACAGGGCCACAGGCTGTTGAATGAGCATATCAGCTCTCGAATTGGCTCACGTCGAGTTAAAAAAGGTTTAGAAGTATAGTCTACATCCGTTTTAAGACTAGACTCAACGTTGTCTCATGCAAAGGCCTCAATCAAATCTTAAACTAAAATATGAGGCAGTTATCGGTCACAACCCATATATTCTTAAAAAATTGCAACCAAGGACTTGGGTAAACACAAATGGGGGGAAAATAAGCTTATTCAAAGAAAACATGTTTCAAAAAAGCACACTCTCATTTCATGCTTGAGGAAAGTTGTTGGGATGGTGATTCAGGTCCCTGTTCGGGTGCCAACTTATGTAACACCAACGTGAAGGGTCACATAAAAAATGAGAAGGGATCAATCACCATTTACCAACAGTTATATTTCTCTTAAGTAAAGTTGAAAAATGTTGATCATACTAAATGTCTTGACAAAATTACGGACATCATAAGTCTGCTCATGGGCGTAATTCAAAAATCAGACCCAGCTAATATAACCCCCCCCCCCCCCCAATATCATCACATCATTCATATTAGAATTAAAATGAAATATTCCGAATTAATATGAAATACATTTGCCAGCAAGAAAGATAGTATCATATTTTAAATAATCTGTAATGTACCCTCTGCCCACCGCACCGACTTGGTATTACCCAACCCGCTTTCTCTACCAAGTTTGTTTACTATGTTGCGCAGTCGCTGGGATGAATGGTTTGAGGAAATAGCTGACATTGCATGCTAACGGATAGAAAGATGGAAATGACATTGAAAGGCAGCCAGACAATGATTTTTTAATTGTTGGTCGGCTCCAAAAAAAGGAAAAATCCTGACCAAACGGAGGTACCCCATTGCTAAATTAGCTGTTTCTCAAAGTGCGGCGCGTGGGCGCGGCCTACTGTTGGAGAATAGAGACGAGTGGGCACGACAAACAGGTTTTGTGTTTCCTTTATTTATTGACCATACACTCAAAACAAAACAAAGACACATTTAAATGTAAGCCTTACTCAACCTTTTTTACACGTAAGTTTAAAAGTTTTTCAAGGCGACCGTTATTGATCGTAGTATCATTTTATGGTTCCCATGGAGACGCGTCCTTCATTGCTTGTCACAACAGCTGAATGACTGATGATCTGCTTTTATTTTTTATTCAGAATTTCACAATTTGCTAGCTATATTAGGATCTGATATTCCGATTGTCAAATATTTGCAAGTGGATGTGTTTTGTTGTTAAAACACCTTTGATGTAGGCTATGCGCAACGTATTTTAGGTATACGTACATTATTAGGAATTTGCCACCTTCAGTTCAATTTGATATTATTATTTATTATTATTATTATTATCATTATTATTATTTTATTTTTTTGTTCTTTTTGCATGGAGTTTGCAAAGTGACAAAATGAATCATAGCACAACTAACGTTAGTCCACACTTGTATTTTCTCAGTTTCTGAATTTTATGTTATTAGAGGCTATATAAATGCAAACACAATTTTTCTATCTACTTTTGAGTCGTATTTCGTGCAAAGTGATAATATAATTGCACTTTCTTTTTTCTCTATTTGAAAGTGTTTGCTGTTATTGGATGCTACGTTTTTACAATGTGATGTTAATAAAATACACTTTAACAGTTAAACTTAAAGCCTAGTTTCTTAACATTTTGTTGGGTTGATCGGGGACAGGTCGGAACAATATGTAAGTGACAACCAATATTGCAATTTCTTGCAAAGTCTTCAGATAAAATGTTAACTATTTTAGTTGTCTAAAACAATGCCTACGCTATGTCACGACCAATTCGTACGAATTCGCACGAGTGATTAAAAAGTGGCTAATTCGTACTAATTCATACAACCTCACTCGTACGAATTCGTGCGATTTGTCTAAACCTACGTGATGGTTAGGTTTAGGGGCGGGGTCAGGGGTATGTGATTCGTACGAATTCATGCGAATTGGCCAATTCGTAAAATATGTACAATTTAGCAAAATCGTGCTAATTCATACGAGTGAGGTCGTATGAATTGTTATGAATTAGCCACCTCTTAAAATTTGTACGAATTCCCGTGAGATCGGGTTGACAATGCACACAAGTACCTCTAACCCTAAACTCCTTCAAGTACCTCTATTTTTCTTCATTGCTATGCATTTACTTTTGTAGTGACATATGGTCATTGGGATGGTTGCTCTATGATCTCTGCATGCTGGATGTGTGGGTGAGTATGTTTTGTTTTTCCTTCTCAAACGCATTATATTAAATCAGACAAATTACAAAAATATTACTGATGGATTCATTTAATTTAGCTTTATAATTTACAAACCAAGAATTACATTTTTTTAAAACTTAATGCTGGACAAATGTGTTTGAGAGATTTTTTTTTTTTTTAAAGATTGCTGGTATAGCAAAACCCTTCTCTACAGCTGTTTGTTTTAGCTACACACAAACCCAGTGTAGGGTTGCACAGTGCGTTGAAATAAAATTGATTATCCCAGAATGTTCTCATTTTATTGAGTTAACGCTTTTTTTCAACTAAGTGCAAGGAAGTTTAATATCTGAGTGAAAGTAACTTTTTTCTTTTAGTAAATTTGAATTTTAAGTTTTTTCCAGTAGGCCTACATTACGTTTTGTACGTTTTAGTTTTTTAAGGGATACTCCACTTTTTTTGGAAATAGACTCATTTTACAACTCCCCTAGAGTTAAACAGTTGAGTTTTACCGTTTTCGAATCCATTCAGCCGATTTTTGATATTTCAAAAAATTTCAGTAACCAGAGAGTTTCTGGTCTCATTGACTTCCATAGTAGGAAAAAAATATACTTTGGAAGTCAACGAGACCAGAAACTGTCTGGTTACTGATATTTTTCTAAATATCAGAAAATCGGCTGAATGGATTTGTGGCACTAGTGTAAATTAAAACAGAAACAGAAGACACCCCCCCCCCCCCCCACAAAAAAAAATGAGACTATTATAGTTTTGTATTCAGAGTAATCTATTCAGACTAAATTTCTGAAAGCGCATGAAGTGTGTCTTTGACTCCTGTTGGTGACGTTGTTAGATATCTGCAAGAATGATATGTGCTCATAAGTATACAAGGGTATAAATTATCCAAACCACTAGAAGGAGCTCTTTCCAAGGTCTGCTCAAAAATGCGCGCAATATAGCAGTTAATGCAGAGACGAGCAGATAACACACCGAATTGGCTTTATGCACAGCTGCACTACTTCCTGAACTTCAGCCAGCTCCTTGTTTCCTGTCTGCCATTATTGGCCAAATTGATTAATTCAGGTGTGTCTGATTATTGTTGCCATGACTACTGAGGTCAAGCACACCTGAATTAATCAATTTGACCAATAATGGCAGGCAGGAAACAAGGAGCTGGCTGAAGTTCAGGAAGTAGTGCAGCTGGGCATAAAGCCCATTGAGATGCTCCACGGATGATTGATTGTGTACTGTTATATCTGTCTTGCAGGTAAGATTGCTTGTGTCTATTGTGGGTCGGGTGGTCCATGAACAGTTATATTTAGTGTTTGGGTATTTAGGATTTGTGTTGGGTAGGTTTTGAGCACGAAATCTATTCTTATCACCCGTGGATAGAGCGTGATCAGAAACAATGGCAATGAAAGCTTGTATGTAAAACGATAATTGGTAATATGCAATAGAGATGGAAAGACAGTATGCACAGTAATGTTATTTAGCGGTTGTGTGATATTGATGGGTAAAATAATACTTTAAAATAATACTGGCAAAGGGACTACCAGTGAAAAGTAGCCTTTGGGCTAATTTGGGTACATTTACATTTAAGAATGTTTATTAATGTACACTGTCCCTTTTCTAAATAAATAAATAAATAAATAAGTGACGCGAGTCCAGTAGCACACGTGGAGTTCGCGGGTGTCCGCCATTTTGCGCAAATTGTGTGCGGCGGGGACATTAGAGTTAAGGGAAACTCAAACGAAGTGATTTGCTCATAGTATAAAGGAGTCATGAAATGTGACATAAGAGAACATTAAAGTGTATTGTGTTATTTAGAGTAACAAGTCATGCTGGGAAAGAGAATGGATGTACTTTGGAAAGTGTTTACCAGACAAAGGGAAATGTATAGGTTCAAATTAAGTTTAACAAGGTTTATTTGTTATTTTTGATATGGGGCAAGATAGACTGTACGTTCACATGTTTGATTTGCAAACTGTATGTTCAAGTGAATGTTAATTTAGGTTAGTGAGCAACAGGTAATGTTATAATGAGCAATTAGAAAATGTCATACTGAATTTGAGAATGTGTAAAATATAGCAGTTAAGGCAGAGACGAGCAGATAACACACCGAATTGAGATGCTCCACGGATGATTGATTGTGTACTGTTATATCGGTCTTGCAGGATTGCATGCAAAGCCCCAATATTAAATGTGTTGCACCAGAAACGACATCTGCTCCTTTTTTTAAATGTGTAACATATTTTGGCGAGCCAGCCAGGAGAGGTAGAGCAGTGTGACAGAGACTACCTCTTCATACAGAGACGAACTTAGCCATGGAGCACCTTCATGACCAAGTGAGCGCCAATCTCAGGCAGTTGGACGAAGACCATCTGCAGGAGGTTTGTCGTTACCTGAAATGTGATGTGTCCTCAGGTAAGCCGAGACGGTTGCTCATTAGGACAGTCGAAAGCACGTTGGATGAAATACAGGAGAAGGAGAGCGAGAGTGATGTCATTCAGCACTTCAAAGATTTACTTGCATTCATGAGTGAGGTGAGATTTGGTACCACTGATGTAGAGGGGGCGAGTATTGAATATTGAACCAAGAGTATTGAACCTTCTCAGAAACTGACCGAAGTGACTCTAAGAAGAGAATTTAAGATCTGGGGACAGATAGGAGAAAGTGGACAGAAAGAAAAGTTGTCATACCCCAGTCTAATTCGTCAAATGGAAGTGGGATTAGAGAAGGGCCACTCTGAGACAGAGATAGTAGAGGCAGTGGTTAGAGCTGTCACCCCAAGCTTGCCATTGAGAGATATGTTGGAGATTAAGCATGGTCTTGCGCTCCAATCGTTACACACCATCTTAAAGGAACATTACAAAGTTGCTCTGTATCACCAGCTCATAAACGTATCCCAAGAACCCAAAGAGTCAGTTCAGAATTTCATCTTCAGGGCAATTGAATTGAAAGAGAAGCTGCTGTGGAAAGCTGAGGATGGTGACGATGACCGCTATGGCAGAGATATCATCCAGCGTAAATTTCTGCGTTCAATTGAAACCGGACTTACGAGTGACTCTCTGAAATTCCAGATACAGCCCTTACTCAATAACATAAGGACAACGGATGAGGAGCTGATTGAAGCGGTAAATGAGGCGGCTAAGCTGGAAGGTGAAAGACAAGAGAAACTGAAAAGGCTCCATACAGGTAAACCTCCACGCATACATGAGTTCCATACCGACCCACGATCTGAGTACGCACCTGCTATGGCTGTGCAGTCAGCAAAAGAGCCTGGTATGGCTATGGCGATCAGAACTGTAAAAGGAAGGGAATCTAAAGAATGTCAGAAGGTCAATAATGAGGTTCCAGACACTAAAAAGCTCATGGAGGAGTTGAGAGCTAAAATGAGACAGATGATTACAGCTGCAATGGAAGCAAATAATAAGACATCCTCCCGGTACAGAGAAGAACGACAGCGGGGCTGTAAGAAATGTAGGGAAGAGCAAGTAGGTGAAAACTGTCAACACTGCTTCAAATGTGGACAAACAGGCCATTTCTCACGTGGATGCAGAGTACAGACCTCACAGTCGGGAAACGACCAAGGACTGCTGAGACGGGGCCTGAGACGGTAGTCTTCCCAGAAGTGTCCCATTCCTCTGCATCTATCCTTCCCGGGGACCGCATACAAAGTAATCAACCATCTCAAGTGGCCATGTCAAACGCCCATGCATTTAATTTAACCTCAGTAGAAGTCAATTCCAATTTCTGTGCTGTAAAGTATCTCCCTCTCCAACATGAATCACAGCTCATTAAACTGATTGGAAAGCGCTGCTTGGTCAACTGCTGTCTGAATGGTCAGCCGATGGAGGCGCTGTGGGACACAGGGGCACAAGCTAGCATTGTAAATGATGCTTGGCAACAACAACACCTCCCTGATACTGTCATTCAGCCTCTGGAAGAGTTGTTGGGAGAGGCAACCCTGACTGGGCTGGCAGCGAACAACACAGAGATTCCATTCATTGGGTGGGTGGAGGTTAATTTCCAACTGGATGGAGGCCCATTCCCAACACCACTGTTAAAAGTACCCATGCTGGTGTCCAGTGATCCAACAGTGGCGGAGGACCCAATTATTGGGTTCAACGTAATCGAAGAGGTTGTGAACAGGATCGAAGATGCCCCCCAGGGAGAGAGAAAAACACTACATACAATGAGCTCTGCATTTTCAATCACCCACAGCGAGGCGCACACACTGATGAAACTGATCCGGAGTAAGGAGCAAGACGTAACAGTGGGGGTGGTGAAAATTGGGAGAAAGCATGTGTACTTGCCTGCGAATCAAGTGACGACTGTAATGGTCCGTGCTCACGTTGGGTCTCAGTATCAGGGCCAAGAACTACTCTTCTCACCCAGCGAGGTAAGCTCAGTTCAAGAGTTAGAACTAAGTGAAGCAGTTGTGAAGATTCCTACAAGACACATCAAGTATATACCCATATCTATTGTCAATGCAGCAAAGCATAGCATCACTCTGCAGAGAATTTCACATTTTGGGTCACTTAAAGCCTGTGAAAACAGTGTATCCTGTGGCAGTCCACCCCACTGGACTTGAGAAACCTCCGTCAGAGAGAGCCCAAACTGGTGAGCCAGACTCTGAAAAGACCACTGATGATTTGAGAGCCAAAACACCACCACCAGCATGGGATCCCCCTGTGAATCTGGACCATCTCCCAAAGGCTCAGCAGGAAGCTGTGAGAGAAGTACTGAGGGATGAGTGTCAAGCTTTTGCTTACAATGATAATGACATTGGTTGCATTCCATCATTAAAGATGCACATCACACTTCATGACACAAGGCCTGTGCAGAAAAATTATATGTCTGTCCCAAAGCCCTTGCATGATGAGGTTAAGGAGTACCTGCAAGACTTGCTAAATAAAGGCTGGGTGGCTCCCTCCAGGTCGGCATACTCATCTACAGTAGTATGCGTGAGAAAAAAAGATGGCAGTCTGCAATTGTGCTGTGACTACCGGGAGCTAAACCAGAAGTCAGTGCCTGATCGCCACCCAATCCCTAAGATCCAAGACATGCTGGATGCGTTAAGTGGAAGCACTTGGTTCACTGTTTTGGACCAGGGGAAGGCATACCACCAAGGCTTCCTGGATGAGGAGAGCTAGCCACTATCAGCATTCATAACCCTGTGGGGGCTGTACTGGTGGATACGAATTCCATTTGGGCTGAGTTCGGCACCAGCTGAGTTCCAAAGAAGTATGGAAAACTGCTTGTTAGGCCTTAGGGACACAATACGTCAACCCTACCTAGATGACAACTTGGTCCACAGCAGCAGTTTTTTAGATCATTTGGCCCATGTGCGGCTGGTGCTCCAGCGCTACAAAGAGCATGGTGTAACGCTCACCCCCAAAAAATGTGAGCTCTTCAAGCGCAAAGTGAGATTCCTGGGGAAGATGGTGTCTGGTGAAGGTTATACGATGGACCCAGCGGAGATTGCGCCAGTGCAGGCCTTGAAGGAGAGGAGACCATCCACAGTGGGCGACGTACGGAAGATGTTAGGGTTCCTGTCTTACTACCGTTCTTATATCCCAAATTTTTCACGCATTGCCCAGCCACTGTACCAGCTACTAACAGCAAGAGAAAGGGGTTCAGGTGAATCAGGAAGGGTGTCAAGGAAAGGAAAACCCACCCGGTCGAGGAAAGAAAGTAATCTAACATCATGGACACCCATTGAGTGGACACAAACCCATCAGGCGACACTGAGCAACCTGATAGATCACCTTGCAAAACCTCCAATCCTGGGTTTCCCAGATTTCCCTGGGAACCCTTTGTGCTACACTGCGATGCATCCCAGGAAGGATTGGGTGCGATACTTTATCAACGCCAGAATGGAAAGATGGTAGTGATAGCTTACGGGTCCAGAACACTAAGTGCCCCAGAGAAAAATTACCACATGCATTCTGGCAAGCTGGAATTTCTGGCATTGAAGTGGGCTGTTTGTGAGCGGTTCCACCATTACTTGTACTATGACCCATCGTTTGTTGTCTACACGGATAACAATCCTCTGACCTATGTCCTCACCACCGCCAAACTGAATGCCACCGGGCACCGCTGGGTCGCACAGCTTGCCGACTTTAACTTTTCCATAAGATACCGACCGGGAAAAAAGAATGCAGATGCTGATGGTCCGTCACGCATGTTGCTGGACATCGACAAGTTTATGGAGCAGTGCACAGAACAAACGCAACCAGAAGTCCTTCAAGCTTCAGTGGAAGGAGTGGTAGTGGAGTGTGAAAATCCTTCACAAGGAACTGGGTGCATTCACTTAAATGCCTTGAGTCTAGTGAGAGAGAGAGACCAAGGTGACCTGGGTCCACCACTGACCCCAGCCCAGATTCAAGAAGCTCAGGAGAATGACAGTATTATTGGGAAAGTCCTGAAGTTCAAAGAGCATACATAACATAACCTGGACCAGGTTAGCCGTGGTGCGAAAGTTACAATGGCGATGAACACTGCTAAAAGTCAAACCACTTTTATTTTATATTAATATTAATGCCTAATATATTAATATATTTATATTAATGCCTAAAACCAAGGGTTGGTGCATACCTGGCTAGCCACCTAAACCAGCTTTATGGTATGGCTGTTAACAAACAGAACCACTGAAGGAAAGTGCAAAAAAAAAAGAACAGAAAAAAAGAAAAGACGAGCAGAAACACAAGAACTACAACTGACTTCCAGCCATTAAACATTATTGCACTTACTACTAAAAAATTTGTCATTAATTCTGTCGTACATCTACAGAAGCTCTTATTGAGAATTAACAAATAGTTTGGATGTTGATGTTTAATAAAAAATGCATTCCATTATGGTGATCAGTGTTTGCTTTAGTTGTGCTCTTGACCCTTGAGTTTTTAATATTTTTTTTGTGGTTGGTTTAACTGTATTTTTGCAAGCCACATTTTTTATAGTAAAAAAATGATCACTGAATGTTGATGGTTATTTTAACGATGCGGCTGAAGCAGATGCAGGAAGCAGGATCCACATGCAGCAGTGATTTTAATAAATAAACTAGAAAATAAAATACAGGCAAGGTAACTAGACTCGAGTACAGGACAGCCAACACACCATGTTAAGAACCCATAAAGACTAAACAAGACACAGGGCTTAAATAGACAGGAAAACAAGCTAAACAAGATAACAAGGGGCGTGGCTAATCAGAGACACCTGGGAAGACTAATAGACATAACGGGGAACAGTTAAACATGGGACAAGACAGGAGAACACCGACAGCAATCACAACAAATCCCCCCCTCTATTAGCGGCACCTGACGCCCATCAAAATAAAAAACACAATAGTTCAGGAGGGTGGTGAAGCGGAGGCGTTCAGGTGGCCAGGGCCCTATCAATCGGCCCCTATAAACAATAAAGAAAGTAAGACATTTTTCTTATACATATAGCCTGCTATTCTTTTTGGCAGAATTCATCATTTATAATCAAATTATTTCCTGGTTTTTGTAACACCATAGTCCCTAAATGTATGTACCATCCAGGAAATGGGATTCACATCGAAAACATTTTCCCCCATTGTGTGTCCCCCCCACTTCTCAAACCAAAGTTACGCCCTTGAGCCAACATAGCGTGTTAAGAATCCATTAAGACTAAACAAGACACAGTGCTTAAATAGACACGATAACAAAGGGTGTGGCTAATCAGGGACACCTGGGAAGACTAATAGACATAACGGGGAACAGCTAAACATGGGACAAGACAGGGGAACACTGACAAGAATCACAACATTTATGGTGACAACATAATCATCATATAGTCTCTTGATTAACTGATCTCACCCCGTGTTTAATCCCTTATCGAAAGTGTAATATTAATAACAGACTTAAATTTCTAAGACTTAAGTTCCAACAGCAATCAATTATAATGATTTTTTTAACACTTAATGCAAAAAAAAAACCCAACAAAAAAACAGTTACAGCATTATTTAGACTAAAGGCCCTTTCACACCGGATGCGTAACGGAAAAGCGAAACGAAAAAGCGAATAGTTCGCGTGAGAATATTTCGCGTCAAAACCATTCACATCAGCCGCGACGCGAATTTGCGACGTTCAGAACTTCAACATTCCAAAACATTCGCGCCGATGAAAGCAGACCTGATTTTCATCAGAAAACGTAGGCTACTCTATACTTATTATTATAGCCTATAGGTGAATAAATATAGATTTTATATTAGATGTCTTTTTGAAGTGATGTTAACATGATGCTTTAATAGGCTTAATAAAAATAAAAAAAAAATCCCAATCTCTAAATAGCACATTTTCAAATAAGCACATAAGTCCATTAGGAAAGATAAAGATGAATGCGTTCTTACCGGATTCGATCAGTGCATTTTGAATTTATATTGTTTGTCTGATGATCTGGCAGCTTCGATTGGACCTTCTTTTTAATTATGTGCATGTCAGTAACTCGCAGTAACTACTGGCAGGTGGAGCTCACTTTCACCAGTTCACTTTAGGTCCACAGTTGCCTGGTTCCTTGTCCACGCAGCATTCATCAGAGCAAACACTCTCTCCACGAAGAGTTTGTTTGTTTGTGATGGCTCCATTAACGTCTGTGCTGTGCATTTTCTATGTTTTCTTATTACATTTTTTTAAATTGTAGAATTGTTATTTAAAGGACGATTAAATAAAAGGATGCAGACAAAAAAAATGCGGTACAGTGCTATGACTTGCGGGACGTGGCACAGCTTCTTCATCACTATCATTATCATCCAGTGAAGACAAGCTTTTTATTTTATTTAAAAGCAGAAAAGAAGGTTTGGGGCACCCACTACCGGAGCTAGAAACATATGGCAGAAGGTGAGCTGTCCCATTCATCAGGGGCTACGTTTACATGCAATCAAATAAACACTTTTAGTAAACGTATTGAAGGCTCAAATGGACTGAAAAGCCTTGTAAACACCCGGTTGGGCTCGATACGAACGAACGAGCACAACGTCCCACCAGTCCTTGTTTCAGATATTCATTCACAGACTCGACACACAAGCAATCAGAAGGTCCGTCCGTCATTGCTGCGGTCACGTCACCTTTGTTTCCCTGTATATGATTGGCTGAAGCCTTTTCTTTCGCCTCAAAAATCGACATCGGAGCGGAAAAAATAAAAGTCGTTTTTTCGCCGCAGCAGATTCGCGTTCGGTGTGGAAGCACTCATTACACAAACAGCTGATCAAAAAATAAAACCATCGCGCGAATTATTCGCGCGTCAAAATCGCGTTCAGTGTGAAAGGGCCTTAAGACAAACATTAAAAATCAACACATGATTCTCAACAATGGTCACAATAAAAAAAGGCCAAGGAGAAGCATTTCGGCCTTTCGGCCCTCTACTACGTCATTAGACAGAAAATCTCTTGTGAAAACGAGTTTGTATAAGTTGTAAATACAATGGAAAAATTGTAAATAGCACCTTTAACGTGATTCTTGATCTGTATGTTAACAAAATTATCCTTTTTCCCCAATTTATTTTCCTGCACAGACACATATTAAAAAACGCCGCTTTCAACAAGCCTCCCTCGCCGTAGGACACCCACTTCTCATCTCAGAGAGGTATCCACAGGAACTAAGGGAATTAATAAAAGAAATGCTCAGCTCTGACCCTAAAGACAGACCTTCGGCTGACGAGATTCTAGCAAAGCCCTTCCTGGCAGATGCAGTAAAGAGAAATAAGAGAATTCCAGAAGCACTTGACCAAAGGTTCACCAACTCCATCAATGCTTTTGAAGAGGCCTACAAGGAGCACTATGGAAACTTTGAGACCTTAGTTGAAGAGTGGGGGAAAACAACAACTGCACTAGAGGAGACACACCGTAGATGCACTATAGGCAGTCTGTCAGGTGCAGTGTTTGGGACTGCTGGTGGGATCACGGCAGTGGTTGGTGCAATATTAGCACCATTCACATTAGGAGCATCTCTGATTGTTACAGCTGTGGGTGTTGGTGTGGGAGTTGCAGGTGGTGTAGCAGGTGCCGCATCCAGCATAGCCAATACAGTACAACAAAAACCGCTCCGTAAGAACCTTGAAAACATTCAGCGGGAATTTTCAAATGTGAGCACACCAATTCTCGAGTCGATGAATGCACTGAGAAGGGTAGTGAAAGTAATCCAAAAGTTCAGGGATTTTGTCAGTGACTCTACTGACAATGTAAACTTCTCATGCAATGTATACAGAAGAGGAGGACTGCGTGCCACAGAACTCGTGAATGTGAGTCTGCTGGCAAACGTTGGCAGAATCGCAGCTCAGACTGCCAGAGTAGGACGGGTCGCAGTAGAAGCAGTGGCTGCAGTCACAGGTGTGTTGAGCGCACTCTTAGTCATCGTTGACTTCACCTTCATCGTGGTGGATGCTGCTGACATTCACCAGATGAATCAGGGAACAGTAAATGATCCAAAAAAGGTTTTATCAAGTTTACTCAAGTCCATTGCTCAGATGAGGAAAACACATGGAGATCTTGTCATTGTCTTGCAGGAGATTAAAGAAACAAGAAATGAACTAGAACAGTTCAAAAGAATTGGCAAGGCTGACAGTGATTCAAACTGAGATTTAGTGACTTAACATGTAAATATGATTCAATTCAGAGACTCATGCAACATCCTACTGATTTATCTATAAGCTTGATTGAAGGTTTTGGAGAAAATTATGTCTATGTTGTACCGAGTCTAACAATAGAGGGGGTGTGATATATGAGGTCAGACTTTTGCAATAATTCTATATTTTAAATATCAGTTTCCTTGTATGTATTTCAGACATTTACATATATAAATCACAAAATTAGCAAACAATGCATATTAATTTAAACAATGTATTAATTAAGGCAGAAACAATGAGCTTACTAAGGCAAAGAATAAATGTTAACAAATGATTAGGATATATAGAAAACTGTAGCATTGGGGAATGTTGATTCAGAGCTTGATTCAGATGCATTATATGAATGCTTGGCTAAAGAGATGTGTCTTTAATCCAGATTTAAAGTCAGTCTCATCCGCGGACATTATCAGCAAAGCTATAGCTTGTTTTCATATGACGTCACGCCACTGCGTTGCCATGGCGCGAAATACAAATGGAAGGCAGGAAGTGATTTGCTGTATATAGAAAGCACTTTAACAAACTCAAAATGCCTGTGTTTTGAGTCATTTATGGTTACTTGAATCGATCAAACCACAAGGAGTTTTTATCGTGTACCAAAAGTTGCTGTTCATAAGGGGGGAAAATGCAAGAAATTGATCGAAAAACTCTGGCTTGCAAACCTATTTCTGCAGTCGGGAGGAGCCGAATGGGAAAATGTGTGTGTTTGTGTAATGTCAGTGATCACTTAGTCAAAGGTGAGTTAATACAACTTAAGTGACAGTTTGTGTAACTTTTCCGTACTTTGTAAAGTCAAAGTATGTCTATTATGACTCGTTTCCACTGAGGGGTACGGTACGGTACGGTACAGTACAGAACGGGTCGGGTCGGGTACACCACGATCAGGCTTACGTTTCCACCGCCAACAGTACCCTTACTTGATAGGCGTGGTATGCTGGAAAGAAGCGATAGACATCATTTTCGACGTCAACAAATGTTGCAATAAACAACATTACAGATGATCTTGTAATAAAAAAAAAAAAGACAACTATCTCTTTTTGTTGAATTTCAGTTTTATCAATAATAGCCATTATAAAACTATAAGTAAAAGGTACAAAAATATATACAGTAAAGCTTAAATAATATCAAGAAACAATTCAGTCAGTCAACAAATTCAGCGCTCAAAGATATGAAACTTCACGTAGCTTGAATTCTGCCAAAACTATTGGCCACGGAACGGATAATAGATTCACGAGACTAAAGATCACCTGTTAGGTTTATACAAGACGAACTATATCTCATGTTTAACCACTACAAAGAAATCCGAGTCAGCGGCAAACATCAGAACGACTAGCCGAGGAAAGGCTGTTCCAGGCGGGGGACACGAGCGCGAGCGTCCGGTGATCGCTTGGAATGGATCTCAGTCAAATTATCAAAAATCTATAAATAAACCACAGATTTGAGCTTTAAAAAACTACTTTCTCACCTGAAAAACTCTTAAAACTACATTTCGTGACACAATAACAGTAAAATTATATTTCACGCGCGCGCGAGTGACGATACTCTGTCCACCAATCAGCGTTCTGCAGTGAGTCTAGCTCCGCCTTTATGTACCCTTTCACTGTGCTAGGTACCCCAACGGAAGGGTACCCAAAAAGTGGTACGGTACGGTTCGGCTTTTTGGTACCATTCACAAGTTTTGACAGTGGAAACGCAAATAATTGCGTACCGAACCGAACTGTACCGTACCGTACCACTCAGTGGAAACGAGCCATTAGACGAGGTAGTTGCTGATATCTACCGTCTCGATGGCAGGAAAATATTTCAATTCAGTTGAAAAATCGCTCCTCTTTATAATATAAGAATAACGTCCAACATATGTTTGATTTTTTTGTTTATTTCTTTCTCTTGTAATAGTGTGTAAAGTAGTACAGTACGGACTTTCCTCCATCTCGTCCGTTGCGCTCTTCCCTCCCTGCCCTCCATCTGAATTCCACGCATCATCATAATCACCTGACTGAAACCCAGCTATTGTTTCTGTGTCTGTGGTCTCCAACAGTTTTAAAAGATTCAAAGAACAGAGTCCGTAAAATGATCTGAATGTCCCATCATTGCATCCAGGCCTCAGGACTGAACATGAGCAGTAACACAGTTAGAGCATAAGAAAATACGAGACATTAGAAAATATGAAAGAAATGCTCACAAAAAAGCCAACCAACTTTCAACAATAAATTAGAGTATTTGAATGACATTTCTGTGGTTAGTAATTTGAATAACACACGCCCAAACAACCTCCAAATTAAAGCTTTCCATAAAAGCCTTTCATCACTCTCAGCAAACTGAAAAGAAAAATGTGTATCTTACTTATGTTTTATCATTTGCTTATGTTTTATCATTCAATCATTTACATCTTAAATATCACATAACCAAATGTAATCATTTATATTTGAAGAAAACATTATTATCATTAGGGTTAGGGTTAGGGTTGTGTTTACCATTACTATCATTTGAAATGTATGTTTGATGCTTTTCTTTTATTAATCTTTATGCCTCAAATGTAGTGGATTGACTTACGGTGAAGTTTTGTACTTGCTGTTTAGATGAAGACAAAAGTCTATACGTTTCTGATGTGAAAACAAATGCTCCAATGACTTAGAATAAAGTGATAAACGAATGTTATCTTAGCTGAACATCTTGCAGAAGAGACATGTTGTGCAGTTCTTTGTGTGTTGGATTAAGACTGGATTAAGATTAAGACGTTCAAAGAGAGATCTCACAAACGACGTTAATTTTCTTTCAGCTATAAGAATATTGTGTTAATCATATTTTACTAAGAAATATTAAAAGTGATTTTACCTGTTCATTTTATGTTTCTTTATTAAACTTTTTATCCTGATTATGGATGAATTCATTGTCCTCTTCATTTAATATTTGATTGTCTGCTGTTAAGAAATGAAGTGTAACTGCATCATCTGACTGGATCTCCTCCCTGCATCACAAACATATAATGCTCTCTAACAGCCCATTCTCACCCCCAAGGCGTCACTTAACTGACGCCTTGGGAAGCATTTGGACATGCTTCAATATCTGACGCTTTAGGCGCCCTTTAGCGTCAGTTAGATGAGTCGTCAGTTAGGATTGCGTGTACCCTACCCCCACCCCACACCTAAACCTAACCGCGTCCTCTAACTGACGCTTTCCTTTAGCGTCAGTTAGATGACGCCGTAGGATCGCCTCATGTAAGTGACGCTAAAGGGCGCCTAAAACGTCAAATACTGAAGCATGGTCAAAGGTGACGCCTTGGGGTGAGAATGCGTTGTCTCTAAAGATCTCACTGTTTTTAACACATACACATGGCTTCATTTTTGTGAATTTTGGAAACAAAACAAAATATACTCACTACAAATGTTATTGATAAATCGTATTTTGTTTGTGAAAACACTTTGTACTCAGATTTCACACACAAATAATATAGAGGGACAGGTTTGTCTATGGATAAAGTGTATTATTATTATTATTGTTATTATTATAACTTTTATTTTCTATAACGCCTTTAAATGTAAATCTCAAACCGCTGTACAAACACAATTAAAATAGCAAAGATACAACACACAAACGAGACAATACACAGTAAAATTAACATAAAAAACAATAAGCATAGAAGACAATAAATCAATTAAAAGCTGACCTAAAAAAGTGAGTTTTAAGCTGAGATTTAAAGATTCTAAGAGATTTGGCTTGCCTGATCTCAATCGGAGAGTTCCAAAGTTTTGGAGCTAGTGAAGAAAAAGCTCCATCTCCCATTAATCTCAAACGGGTTGAGGGAACAGTTAAAAGACCAGTATCTGAAGAAAGAAGAACACGTTTTGGAGTATATAGAATGAAAAGCTCTGTCAAATATTGAGGTGCCAAACCATGCAGTGCCTTGTAAGTAAGCATCAAAATCTTGAAATCCACCCTAAACCTAATGGGAAGCCAGTGCAAAGACTGCCAAACGGGATTAATATGGTCTCGTATGTTAGTTCTTGTAAGAACTCTGGCAGCCGAATTTTGTAAAACCTGCATTCTGTTTAAGGTTACTTTTGATCAATACGCGAAAACACAAAAGTGTTTATCAATCTCCCTGCAACAGTAAACAACAGCATTGGATGCAATCTGGCAATATTTCTAAGATGGAAAATTAGATTTTAACAGTATTCAAAACATGTGGCTCAAACGTCAGATTGGCATCAAAAATTACTCCTCAATTCCTCAATTTAGTTTGAAACTCCACAGTAGAGCCATCAAGAGCTAGAGTGACTGGCTCTACTTAGCGTAGTTGATGGGGTGAAACAACAAGCATAATCTCAGTCTTTTCACTGTTAAGACAAAGAAAATTATCAGTCATCCATTCCTTTCATCTTAGAAATACATTCAGAAAGAAAATGAACAGGCACAATTTCATTAGGTCTAAAATGAATGTAGATCTGGGTATCATCTACATAGAAATGAAAATTTAGACCAAGAGATCTCAAAAGCTGACCAAGAGGATAGACATAAATATTAAAAAGAAGAGGGCCCAAAATTGACCCCTGAGGGACACCAGACTGCACAACATTAACCTCAGATCTAAATCCACCCATGGCAACAAACTGCTTCCGATCAAAGTTTAAACCAATTAAGAACGCTATTTGAAACCCCAAAAATAGTTTCAAGACGAGTAATTTAAAATTGAGTGATCAACAGTGTCAAAAGCGGCACTGCAATCTAGTAGGATCAAAACTGAAAGACAGCCAGAATCTGAAGCAATTAACAGGTCATTGGTGACCCTAACCAGGGGTGCGTTTCCCGAAAGCATCGTTAGCCAACTATGGTCACAAGTTGGAGGCTAATTTCAACTCCAGAGCAGCCATGGACAGCAGACTGAGAAGCTTGGCTGAGAATGTGGACAGTTTTAGGGGACAAGTGAAGACTCACTTGTTCAGGTTAGCTTTTGGGTAATATCTGTACTTTATATGTTGATGTTTTTATCTGTTTTATTTTATTTTCTATCAAAATTTTTGTATATTGTAAAGCGCCTTGTGACTAAGTCTGTGAAAGGCGCTGTATAAATAAATTTTACTTACTTACTTACTTACAGACAGCCTTGCAACAATTTCAACATCGGCAAGTGCACCAACTCACGACTAGCTCGCTAGGCGCTATTTTTCACACAGTTTGATTTCACTGTAACCCAACGACACAGTACTAAGAATTGCAAGGCGAATGCCTTGTCCTGTCTGTATCATCCTGAACCTGAATCCAGTCCTCCAGAACTAGCCTTGGTGGTCAGACCGATCCAATGATGGTTTCTGCCTGAGGGTCCTGAGGGACGGTTGTATGTACATATAAGTAAGCCTGCCGTTTGTCACTCATGGACTCAGCACACACCTCTATCTGGACACCCAGGCAGCCAGCGAACCCTCTGACTCCTACAAGATCGCTACTGGTGGCCCAACATGGCCCAGAATATCTCCTGATATGTCACAGGGTGCTCAGTCTGTGCCATCACCATCACCATGAGGAAGCTACCCAAGGGAAAGTTGGGACATCTGCCGATACCCAGATGCCCCTGGTCTCACCTTGGTATTGACTTCATGACTGACCTTCCTTTGTTCGATCATCACAGTTTCTCCACCAGAAATAGCCTATGAGTTCTTCTTGCTTGTTTGTGTCTTTACGTCCAGAGTCTGACTTTTCTAGTAGTCCCATCAATATATTTTCAGTAACACTTTACAATGAGGGTACATAAATAATCATGTACTAATACCTGAATTAATATAGCACTAAAAGTGGATCAGACTTGTTATAACAGGGAACCAGTAAGTGTGAAACAGCTTTGTCAAATGGTCAAATGGTGCTGCTATGTAGAACCATAAGAGGTGCCATATATTGTTTTTTCAAATACGTAGTTTATTCTATTTTTTTAGGATCCCTCAGGTGCGCGCGGTCAGTGTGCGAGAAAGCAACATTTGTTTATACTGTTTTCGCTGGAACAGCGGAACTAAAGCTACTTCCTGCCTCTTGTGCTCATCTGTCTGAATATGATCTCCAAGGTCTGAATCACTGCAGCCAAACAGAAAACAGCTTCAGTGACTGAAACATTCGACTTGCATTAATAATTCCCACACGTTCTGGCAAGGGTCTCTCAAAGTCATGAACAAACCTTCATTCAGTAACTTTAATAGAACGTTTGCTCAATGTTATCTGGTTTTTAATATTATTCTCAAAACATTTGCACAAAAACCTTATTTACACATTGTTCATGGAGCATTTTAAACTGTAATGTTTTAGTTAGATGTTTGTCTAACATTTAAAATGTTACTACTTGTTTTGGAATGTTCAAAGAACATTTAAAAGTAACATTCCCATTATTTTTCAAGAATGATACAATGGAATTTTCCCCTAACGTTCACATAACCATCTTTATTTTTTTTAAAAATTAAAAACTGGACATTAGAACAGTTTAACCTTCTCATTGGGTCTCTTCACGGGTGTTGGGTCGTCTCTCCACGGGTGTTGGGTCGTCTCTCCACGGGTGTTGGGTCGTCTCTCCACGGGTGTTGGGTCGTCTCTTCACGGGTGTTGGGTCGTCTCTCCACGGGTGTTGGGTCGTCTCTCCACGGGTGTTGGGTCGTCTCTCCACGGGTGTTGGGTCGTCTCTCCACGGGCGTTGGGTCGTCTCTTCACGGGTGTTGGGTCGTCTCTTCACGGGCGTTGGGTCGTCTCTCCACGGGCGTTGCGTCGTCTCTCCACGGGTGTTGGGTCGTCTCTTCACGGGCGTTGGGTCGTCTCTCCACGGGTGTTGCGTCGTCTCTCCACGGGTGTTGCGTCGTCTCTCCACGGGTGTTGGGTCGTCTCTTCACGGGCGTTGGGTCGTCTCTCCACGGGCGTTGGGTCGTCTCTCCACGGGCGTTGGGTCGTCTCTTCACGGGCGTTGGGTCGTCTCTTCACGGGCGTTGGGTCGTCTCTCCACGGGCGTTGGGTCGTCTCTCCACGGGCGTTGGGTCGTCTCTTCACGGGTGTTGGGTCGTCTCTTCACGGGCGTTGGGTCGTCTCTTCACGGGTGTTGCGTCGTCTCTTCACGGGCGTTGGGTCGTCTCTTCACGGGTGTTGGGTCGTCTCTTCACGGGCGTTGGGTCGTCTCTTCACGGGCGTTGGGTCGTCTCTTCACGGGTGTTGGGTCGTCTCTTCACGGGCGTTGGGTCGTCTCTTCACGGGCGTTGGGTCGTCTCTTCACGGGTGTTGCGTCGTCTCTTCACGGGCGTTGGGTCGTCTCTTCACGGGTGTTGGGTCGTCTCTTCACGGGCGTTGGGTCGTCTCTTCACGGGCGTTGGGTCGTCTCTTCACGGGTGTTGGGTCGTCTCTTCACGGGCGTTGTGTCGTCTCTTCACGGGCGTTGGGTCGTCTCTTCACGGGCGTTGGGTCGTCTCTCCACGGGCGTTGGGTCGTCTCTTCACGGGCGTTGGGTCGTCTCTCCACGGGCGTTGGGTCGTCTCTCCACGGGCGTTGGGTCGTCTCTCCACGGGCGTTGGGTCGTCTCTTCACGGGCGTTGGGTCGTCTCTCCACGGGCGTTGGGTCGTCTCTTCACGGGCGTTGGGTCGTCTCTCCACGGGCGTTGGGTCGTCTCTCGGGCGCTGGGTCGTCTCTGCACGGGCGTTGGGTCGTCTCTTCACGGGCGTTGGGTCGTCTCTCCACGGGCGTTGGGTCGTCTCTCCACGGGCGTTGGGTCGTCTCTCCACGGGCGTTGGGTCGTCTCTCCACGGGCGTTGGGTCGTCTCTCCACGGGCGTTGGGTCGTCTCTCCACGGGCGTTGGGTCGTCTCTCCACGGGCGTTGGGTCGTCTCTCCACGGGCGTTGGGTCGTCTCTCCACGGGCGTTGGGTCGTCTCTCCACGGGCGTTGGGTCGTCTCTCCACGGGCGTTGGGTCGTCTCTCCACGGGCGTTGGGTCGTCTCTCCACGGGCGTTGGGTCGTCTCTTCACGGGTGTTGGGTCGTCTCTTCACAGATGTTGGAGCTGACATACTCTCTAGTTGCCTCATTTTGATGGGTATCCCAAGATAAAACAGAAAATAAAATGAAAAAATATTAGCGTAGCTGCTGTTCATAACATTAAGCAAGAATAATCATGTATATTTGATCTGATATAACTGTGTAAGATAAAGAGATGCATTATATGAATGATTGGCTAAAGAGATGCGTCTTTAATCTAGAATTAGTTTAGGAGCGTTTAGGAGGTACAGCCTGAGTGCTGGAGACGGCACTTGTCTGTAAAGTAAGCAATTAAACCTCTTCAAGATGCAAAAAAACCCATCTTCTACATGCATAATTTATGAATGCAGGGTTGTGTTTCGTTTTACACTGCAGATTTAGCTAGAAAACACAATCCAGTGAAAATGAATAAGGCAAGTCCACTGAAGATCAATAGAGAAATCAATAACATGAGGTGTAAGAGAGTTTAAAGCCAGCAGACAGAAGGAAACTGTACATATAAGTGCTCTTTTTACAAACAGATAAAGCCATATAATGCTTTATACAAATAATTATGTATTAGTACTGTTTAAAATACATTTATAATACAAATACAGTTCACATATATAATAGTTTATTTTACATAAACTGAGCAAAAATATATACTCATTTTATACCCAGACTTCTAGATCACGTGTAATTCAGTAAGTAAGTAGTTATTAACAGGCGCTAAAGGAGCGAGTACTATAGCCTGATCGTGATATGAATGTGAACTGGACATCTGCCATGGGGACGTTATCATGTGACCTGATCACAACCGCAACAACTTAAAATATATGAGCTACAGGTTTAATTAATCTATCTGTAATATCTTGATATTGATGAAACTGTTATACAGGCGGTCAGGAGCTCAGTTCAGCGTTTGACCCGCAGAAGAAGAGGATCTGTCCTGTGACGCTGCGCCTGACCCCAGATCAGATGAGTGCGAGAACAGATTTGAGCTGCACATAAAGGAACATTTTAATGTCAGTTGTTTAAGCACTGCTCTCCTCCATATATCTGGATAATTGGTGGCCTGTGATCACTAAACCATGACAGATCTGAGGATATTCACTCTGACAGAAGTCCTGCAAGACTTTCACCTGAAAGAGAAGTTGACTGAGCCAATCTGATGCTTTCATATCCAGAGCTTTTCTGCTAAACACACAACTATAATGACAGAAGCCTGAAAATCTCACCAAATGAAACTAAACAGCTCTGAATGAATCATTAGTGACGGCCTGAGAGCGGTGACTTCTGTATTGAAATTTGTAATGCAAAAATATATATATATAAGATCATTTGGCTTGACGTGAGGGTGTTTCTATGGTATATATAATGCTTGCCAGAGAAACAAACTCCAAAAGCAGAATATATGTAAGCAATAAGGTACTCGAGGCTGTTCTGTATCATGAATGAGTTACGGCTGAAGGGCGTCGTTAGGCCCGACGCGAGCGGAGTAACCCCTTCAGCCGTTACTCATTCACCATACAGCACTTGCCTCAAATACATTATTGCTTTTATAACACGGTTGCCACACAATATTAAAGTAAAAAACAATGTATTAGTGCAACTTTCTTGAAGTAAAATCACTAAAAGCCTTCCTTCCGCTAGAAAAAATAGTCCCTGAGCGTGAACAGCAACAACGCTCCGATGTGTAAAACGCTAAAACAACACAACAACATAGAACCGCAGTGTTGCGCAGCGATCGATAGAGCCGTTGGGTGAAGCGGTCATAGGCGTGTTTTATCGTGAATAAAACACAGCTCTCGACCAATCAGAATCAAGGATTCGAACTAACCGTTTTATACACTTCATTGGGAAACATAAATGAATAAAAAGAACCTGTTTCTCTCTAAAAATGATACTTTATTGGGTCATTTCATAAAACATCTGTCCACAGATTGGTAAATGAGCTTATGCGTAATAGTGAGAGTTCCCATAATGCATACCAATATTTTAGCAAGTAAAGCTTTAAACATCATGTTGCAGAAACAGACATTAATAAAGTGATCATGCCAGAGATTGGAGCAAACAGCGAATAACCGTCCACAGGTTCATGAGGAGTAATGCGAGATCATCTAACGTCATACAGGTACATACAAAAATATGAATGAAACATTTACAAAAGGCTTTATTTCTTGATGACTTCCTCTTTGAGTTTCTCTGCCAGGTGTTTCCTCTTCTGCAATCTCTTCTTCTCCTCGACAGAGATTTCCTGGAATATGGAAAAGAAGAGGGAAAAATGATCATGAGGACAGATAATCTACAACCAGCAGTGACATCACATCCAGACATCTCAATGTAAATCATCCGTGGATTGCTGACAGCAATAATGCAGAGATCTGGGCCAGCAGAAGACTGTGGTCTGATGGGTACGAGCTCAGGCGTCCTGGCTCAATGCCTCGGGCACAGGGAGACAAAAACAATATAATAACAACGAACTAAGAGATCCTGGCCGTTTTCCTCTCCGTCCACTAGATGGCGCAGATGCATGATGGTTCTGTCGCTGGGCTGTGATGAGACCTCCAGCGAGGCGTCCGTGTTCTCGTCGGCGCTCTGAGTCAGGATATCCGCGGAGTGTGTGATGACGACTCTTCATCAGTGGAGAAACCCCGGGTCCCAGACGGGTTCTGCTGGGGCGTTTCTCTGGGAACAGTAGTGGCACGGATGCCTCCGGATGTTGGTATGGCGGTTGATGTCACTGCGTCTTATAGACCCTTTTACAGTTGGTAAACATGGTGACGTTTTTTTGTGGGCGGAGCTTAGGTGGAGGCAGAACGATCCCTCTGGCCGCTTCACTAACGCTAGTTAGCAAGTATTGCTAGCTTGTTTTTTTAACAATGACTGGAGAAAATCCGATATAATCTTAATGTGTAAGGTCACTCAGTGTCCAGGACCGCGATTGTTATTTACAAAAGTTATTTTTAACGGACGGAACCAGATTGGCCGACCCGTAGCCGCCTACACGCTCACTCAATGATGGACGATCTGACAGGATTAACGTACGTTACCTCCGGTGAGTGGCCTGACTTCTACACCTACCTTATAGAGAAACTGATCGTAAAGAGAAACTGAGGGCATATAAATCTTTAGATGCCTATATGGTCCTGTACAAGACTTGTGTGTACGATCCGCAGTTCTGCCGAGTCAGCGCCGAGACCACGACAATATAAAGAGTGACATTACAGTGCGATTTTAATGATGTGAATATTTTCTAGAAATAAAAGTTCCAGATACGGCATATTCATTTTTCATCAATTCTTACACCAAACAACACAACAAGATGACATTTAATAATAATAAAATTAATTTAAGCTCCTTATTATGTAGCCGAATCTGTGCTGGTTTGTATCGACCCCCTCCAGTTTTCACTTTGTTTTGCCTCCAGCTAGCGCCGTGACGAAACTGTGACGTCGGCGCAAAAGGGGTCTATATGTTCATGTAGTTCTTAAAGTTGGCTCTTTGCAGAATGGAAAGGAGATCTGTCTCTCCGGGTCTGTCCGGGCGTCGGATGCGTTACGGGAGTCGGCTACATCATTCCCACAGTGAGCCGAGCGAGTGTTTGAAAGAGAGCGTTCGGTTATTTGCGTAACCCCGGTTCTCTGAGAACTGAGCGCTGTATCTCATCCAGCTTCCCTACTCGCATAACACGGGGGAAGGGCGTGCTCTGAATCAAGAGCTGTGATTGGTCCATCCTTCGGAGAGATGCGGTGTGATTGGTGCTTCCATACTCTATCATGCCTGAGGAGTTTCCCGTAGTGAGACACCAGTCTGTTCTCAGAGATCCTAAAGGCCCGTACACACCGGGACGAGTATCAGCGCGCGTTATTCGTCAGTGTTTTTCAACACGTTTTTTGTGTTCGCACCCAAGAGATTTTCGCTGACGATGAGCCGAGTGAACATGCAATTTCATTCCCTGACATTAAATGGCACCAGTTTGCTCTGCAATACAACTCTATATCAGTTCTCTTTTATCAAGATGTTTGTAGTCGTGTTCATCATATAGTTCTTTATGTTCTAACACCAACGAGAACAGCAGATCTACATTCATCTGGCCTCGCATCTTCCTCGTCTTATTCCTTCTGGCAGTGTAGACGGCGACGTGTATATCTTCTTCATCATTGCATATGTGTGCTCGGCAAGACTGTTTTGTGTTTGAGCGCCCCCAAGTTGTGTCTCTTCAGAAGGTCCAGACACGTGGGCACACGCGGCGCTCAAACTAAAAAACCAACCCGAGGCGTTTTTAAAAAAATTGGTGCCCTTTGTTTTGTCACGAGGCGTTAAACGTCGGCGAATAACACACACGAAATTGGTCCCGGTGTGAACAGGCCTTAACGTCTCCTCCTGGAAGCACACTGTGCTCTGATTGGTCTCTGACTGTGTTTGGGAGATGTCCCGCCCCTGACAGTGGAGTTCAGAAACACTGACGCTCATATACAGGAGAACTGGAGCTTCTCATGATCACACAGCATCATCACACACACTGAACAAGAAGCAGAACAGGTGCAGTGAAGGATTATTTAATCATAACTAACATTTCTTTGTCTTGCAGGATTAATAACTCTATGCTTTCAGAACCTGAATATCCCTAAACACTTTCCAAAGTCAGTGTGTGTCAGATATTCCTGAATATAACAAGAGGAAATCAGAGTTTGCTTCTAACAGAAGGGCTTGCTGGATTCTTCATATTGGAGAAAAATGATGTACTATATCATTTCACCTTTGACCTCTATAAAGGCGGTCCTATCTCTCGGAGATCCTCCGGCCGTGATTAAAGCTCATTCAGATGCCTGGAGTCTGTTTAATTAGTGGAACATTAGACATCTTAATCCCAGGAGATCGTGTTCAGAGAGGCGTCCGACTCAGAGCTGGACTCATGGGCTGGGGTCAGAGAGTGACCCGAGGACAATATTGTCTATATTAATGTCAGATTCTATCACAGTGCTCTTTAAGGTATAACTCTGCAGTGTGACGGAGGTGTGTGTGTGTGTGTGAGCACCTGTGCGGAGGCTTTGGGCTCCGGGGTCGCAGGAGTGTCAGTGGGACTCTTCAGGGTCTGGTCTCTCTTCCGGGCCTGGAGTCTGTCTCTCTGCTGCTTCAGATACTCCGAGCGCTGCTGCAACGCCTCCTCATCCTACACACACACACACACACACACACAGAGAGAGAGACCCTAACATCAATGCTGCTGCAACGCCTCCTCATCCTACACACACACACACACACACACAGAGAGACCCTAACATCAATGCTGCTGTAACGCCTCCTCATCCTACAACACACACACACACACACACTCTAACACTAGATGTGATGCGATAAGATTCCAGCTTTATGCAGTGTTTCAGACACACCAGACGCGACACGACTATAAGACAATCCAAAATCCAGTCAGAAGAGTGTGTGAGTCTCTCTGCAAGCTCATCATCATTGTACATTTGAAATGTTCTTGTTTAGTTAATTTCAAGATCTGAGGTGATATTCAAACACACATCAGCTGCTAAAGATAGCAGTCACGTATAACGTCATGTATCAAATAAACTGTCCAAACCAGAGTCAGGAGTCAGGCCCAGTGTGAATGAGTCGGTGAAGTGTGTGTGTGTGTGTGTGTGTGTCTCACCGTGAGCGGTCTGCAGTCTCTCTGTGTGTCGTCTGGACTCGTGTGATTGGCCGACACTGAACCCTTGACGGGTGTCCTCACAGCGGGAAGAGCTTCACCTTTACCTGTGCAAACACACAACACTGATCCTCACACACACACACACACACACACACAGGTGATTGTCTGCTGTGAGCGCGGGTGTGGATGGGAACACACACTCACGTGCCGCTGAACCCCTGACGGCTGCAGACTCGGACTGCTGGATCCTCAGCTCTGGAGCTTCAGTCTCGCTGCCGTTGGTCTGAGGAAGATGAGGACGAGGGGAAACGCAGCATCACTCACAAAAACACATGCTTTATAAATCTTAATTATGACACACAAACAGTCCCAATAATGAGATTTAAAATAGTCAAAATTATGACTTAGTATGGCAATTTCAAGTGTCATAATTTTAACTTTTATGTTTCAATGTCTAGGTTAATCTGGAACTGTGGTTTGGAAAGTGAAAAACCTTAAAGACTTCTAAACATTAACTTTAAGCTATGCAAATGAGTCATGTGGGGCCACCTGTGACAGCATCAGCCAATCAAAACGCTGGATCTGGAATACGCCAATTCACAAATCCCTCCTTCTCAGGAGTTTAAAGGGTTCTCTCTGAGACTAAGAGATGTTCTGGTTCTGGTTTTGGGTTCCAGATCTATGGAGTAGTAAAGTTGCTCTCTCAGGACTCTGAAGCTCTAAAGAGAGAAACACAGACGTTTCCCACTGTAACGCCCACAGCTCGGACTCGCTTTACCAAACCTCTTTCCAGAGACCTTGGCATTAGTCTATATAGTGTATAACAGGGTCTAAAGTGTTTGTGATCGTCCTCTAGTGTAAGCGGAGGACACGCGTGTGTGACCGCAGTGGAAGTGCACTACAACAAGACATTAAAACATCCAAAACACACACATGATCATCAAAACGGCACTGTGTTCACTCATAAGCCCGGTCACATGATTCATTTATTCAGATCATATATCCTGTCAGAGTGTTCAGTTTATTCACTACATTTACGGTTATGGTGACACACGATATGAAGGATGTCAGAGTGATCAGCACGTACTGTGTTGGTCTGCCGTATCCCAGAATCCCCGGCGGTGTGAGTCTCACAGGAGTTTCCCAGAGGAGCGTCTGATAGACTGCTGGATGTGGAGGCCTGATCCTCTCGCTCCTGCATCCTGAGAGCCATCATCTCCAGCTCATACTCCTCCTTCGACCTCCTGCGGGATCATCATCTCCAGATCATACTTTAACCCGTCATTCAAAAATTACAGAAATACCAAATCATGCTTTATTTCAGTAACATTTCTGTCATTTATGCATTTTAATCTAGTTTTCTTAATCATTTTAATAGTATATATTCTCTAGCTTCAGCACGTTTCTGGTCATTTTATGTCAGCGGCCAGAACAGTCAAACGTCTGAATGTTCATTTTGAAGTCTAATTTTTTCACTTTACTTTTATAATTTCTCAGGTCTTGCGAATCCATTTCTGCAGACAGCCTGAGTTGCCGAGGATGAATCCAGGTCATGTGAGATTCAGTGATCTGTGAGCTAACCCTGATCTCTTAATGGCATTCATTAAGGTCAGCATCTTAATTATTAGAAGCAGAATCTCGGAGCGTTTGGAGAAACGCCGCAGGATAAGAATATCCAGCCTTTCTTTTTCAGTGAAACGCTAAGCCGGTTTAGGTTAGTGGTCTCAGTGGCTTTATGTGCTTGGCTTCCTGACAACGCTATCAATCCCTTTACAGGGTGAAGTCCAACCTGGCCGTGAGGACAGTATCTGGGATAAACGACTGCTAAACCGGGCCGCTGTGGAGATTCTCAGTCCTGAGCGAGAGCGTGTGGTTATATAAGCAGCCGGTGTGATGCAGGTCATGAACTCACTGGAGCACCTCCTGCAGAATCCTCATCTCCTGCTGCTCCAGTTCACTCATGACATCCACACCGTCCGTCAGACACTCGGGCAGCCCACCTGAAACACACACACACACAGCGCTGCTCAAACGGCTGCAATAGATTTATTAATGTTTCTCTTCTGCTCACCAAGGCTGTAATTTATGGAAGCTTGTTTCCTCCACAAAATAAAACATTTTAATTGCAACTTTTTCCATCTCATTTCATCTCTTAGAAAGTCAGAATTTCAAGTTTATTTCTCGCAATTGCAACTTTATATCTCATAATTCTGACTTTATAACACACAATTGCTACTTTATATCATGCATGATGTAAATGAAAACTCACAATTGTGACAAATAAAGTCAGAATTGTGAGATAAAAATCGCAATTACCTTTACTATTTTTCATTCTGTGGCGGAAACAAGCTTCATTAGCACTTATTTAATAAAAAACATGAAATATTATTCCAGTGAAAATCAGCTGTTTTCTGTGTGAATATACAGTGAAGTGTCATTTATTGTTATTTAGTGTTTAGCAATATTATTGATCTGTGTTGTGCTACTTTCATGTTATCACTGTGAAGCTGCTTTGATACAATCTGTATTGTGAAAAGCGCTATATAAATAAATGTGACTTGACTTATTCCTGTATTTTCAGCATCATTACTCCAGTCTTCAGAATCACTCTATGATGATTGATGGTGGTTGTATGTAATTTGTGACGGGCCTTCTGCCGATAATATTCAGTTAAAGGAAACTAAATGATGTGAGTTTGGAAGAAACACTCTGCCTTCCTCGAATGAATCGAATGTGGAGACCAGACAATGCAGGTCACACTTAATTTCTCACTATTATTATTCTCACTATATTTTTTCTCAATTGTGAGAAAATAAAGTAAAGAACTGTTTCTCTCACAATTATGACTTTTTTCTTGCAATTCTGAGTTTATATTTTGCAATGCTGAAAAAAGTTTATTTCTTGCAATTCAGACTTTTTTTTCTTGCAAAATAAAGTCCGAATTGCAAGATAAGACACGATTATTATTATTTTTTTTGTAATGGTGGACACAAGCTTCCATATGGGAGACATATGGGATTTAAAATGCATTTATAATGTAATAGATGTCACACATGTTAATGCTTTGACAGCCCTAAAGACAAACACGCTCATCTGAATACCGTTTCTCTCCTTGATGACATGCAGGGCCTGCAGCTGAAGCTCCATGTTCTTCTGGACCATCAGAGAGCGAAACATCTGGAAATCATCTGTAGCGAGAACTGGCTGGAAGACCGCCTGTGTGAAGAGGAGACATCATCGTCACACTCACTTACACTTCATGAGCTCTAAAACAATCGGCATTATTCAGATCAAGTTCAGCTCATGATCAGCAATATTCCTGATTATGAAGATGAGCAGAACAGAACTACAGAAGAGGACCGACTGAGATGTCAGCTGAATAATACTCTGGACATGTGACCCTCCAAGCTCAAATCTGATTGGGTCTGTGTGAAGGTTGGCCTGCGCTGTGAACCCGCTCAGGATCGGTGTGACGAGTCTCTCGACGGCCGGCGAGTGTGTGTGGCTCGGAGACTCATCCAGCTGTGGATGTTTAGGCTGGTTGTCTTCCTCAGGGTTACTTTGATTTCGAGTTGGCTCTGGTTTGTTCTTCTGTTAAATTTGCTTGAGTATTTTGTTTTCTATGGTTGATACACTCACATCCACGCACCTGACAACATTACACATGACCATGTTTTCTTGTTTAATATATTTTGCTTTGTATGTTTATTTCTGCAAACCCATCACTATGTCCTCCTGTGAGCCGGTCAGGACGGGTGTGCAGCGGGAGGGACTGACTTCAGCCGGTCAGCAGTTTCCAGGTCTGTGATCTAGTTCAGGTCAGTGTCACTAACCCAGTTAACTAATCTCCTGTGTGTGTCTCTCCACACTCTACACAACACAAGAGTTATGAACACACCCATCCCCAGTGTCCATGAGTCCAGGCCTCAGGAACGACACGAGAGCCACCGAAGCAGAGTCCTGGAAACCTTTATAGTGGCGAACACAACATACAACAAACTCCATTTTTGCTTTTTCATTTGTGCCAATACTAAACAAAAAAATACAAATAATGTTACGAAGTGTGCTGTATTAGCATAGCCCCGCCCACGCCTGCTGACGGACTCTGCTGTATTAGCATAGCCCCGCCCACGCCTGCTGACGGTCTCTGCTGTATTAGCATAGCCCCGCCCACGCCTGCTGGCGGACTCTGCTGTATTAGCATAGCCCCCGCCCACGCCTGCTGACGGTCTCTGCTGTATTAGCAAAAGCCCCGCCCACACCTGCTGACGGTCTCTGCTGTATTAGCATAGGCCCTGCCCACGCCTGCTGACGGACTCTGCTGTATTAGCAAAAGCCCCGCCCACGCCTGCTGACGGTCTCTGCTGTATTAGCAAAAGCCCCGCCCACACCTGCTGACGGACTCTGCTGTATTAGCATAGCCCCGCCCACACCTGCTGGCGGACTCTGCTGTATTAGCATAGGCCCCGCCCACGCCTGCTGACGGTCTCTGCTGTATTAGCAAAAGCTCCGCCCTCGCCTGCTGGCAGACTCTGCTGTATTAGCATAGGCCCCGCCCACGCCTGCTGACGGACTCTGCTGTATTAGCAAAAGCCCCGCCCACGCCTGCTGGCAGACTATGCTGTATTAGCAAAAGCCCCGCCCACGCCTGCTGACGGTCTCTGCTGTATTAGCATAGGCCCCGCCCACGACTGCTGACAAACTCTTCTGTACTAGCAAAGGCCCCGCCCACGACTGCTGACGGACTCTGCTCTTTTAGCATAGTGATGATGAGATGATGATGATGAGATGTGATAATGTGATGATGATGATGATAATGTGATGATGATGATGAGATAATGTGATGATGATGATAAGATGATAAGATGATGATAATGTGATGATGATTATGTGAGATGTAATGATGATGATGATGATGATCCACTAAGAAACGAACATTGTTTTGATTGATACTGTGAAGCTGCTTTGATGCAATCTATATTGTGAAAAGCGCTATATAAATATACTTGACTTGATGATGATGATGATGATGATGATGATGATGACATGTGACTCGTGTCGTCGCTCACCTGTAGATCTTTGGAGCCGGTGAAGGACGAGCACGCGCACAGGAACTGCTGCTCACTGATGCCCACCTCCTGCATGTAGTTCCCCAGCAGCCGCTCCACCTGTCAATCACAGCAGCAGCTGTCAATCACTCACAGCTCTGACGAGTGTATATGATGTTCGTGATGCTCGCGCTCACCAGATGCTTGTACTGCTGATGGACCTCTGTGTAGCTCAGCTTATTCTCGTCCTCATCGTCGAACACTGAAACACACACACACACACACACACCTGTGTTACAGAGGAGACTCAGTGACGATGTGTTCTTAATAGTTGTTCTCATGAACTCACACACACACACACAAACAGGCGCACACATCTGTGGAGACTCTCCATAGGCGTTATTCTGTATTCTGTGGTTTTATACTGTACAAACTGTAGCTATATTCTGTCCCCTATCCCTAACCCTACCCCTCAGGAAAACATTCTGCGTTTTTACATATTCAAAAAAACATTACTTAGTCTGATTTATACACTGTTTTCCTCATGGGGAGCGCTGGCTGCACTGGACCCCACAATGTAGGTGATGTTCAGGTTTACTATACTTGAGGGGACATTTGGTCCACACAATGTAATATAAACAGAAACACACTCACACACACACACACACGCACACACACACACACTCACGTCTTCTCATATCCGAGCAGTTGTTATCCATGAACGAACACACACACACACACACACACACACACCTGAGCAGTGGTTCTCCATGAAGTCCGCTAGCGGGATGAGCCAGTCTGGGCTGCCCAGGAACCCCGCGACGCTCTCCGGCACCCACTCACTGTCCTCGGCCATCGCGCTCACATCCCCACACACACACTAGACACACACACACACCACTGCGCTCCTGTCAGGAGTGTGTTAAAGACGTGTTATAGACCTTAACCCGAGCACCCCGGATGTGATGTGCAACATAATCTGCGACCATAGCAACCGATGGCGTCACTGATCCTTCTTCTTCTTCGGAGATTCCACAGCTGCACTGCCGCCTCTGGGCCGGAGGATGAAGAAGCCTCCAGTGGACATTTAAAGGGACCATGACATCAAAACGGACAGTCGACCAGTGCTACTGCTAACAGTTCATGATGTTTCATTCTGTTTCTGGACGAAAAAATCAGGCACTTGAGTAAAAGTACAGAGACTAATAAAATATGGTTCCAGTACATGTATAAGTGATATTATTTATTCTGATTTCTTTATATAACTCATAAATTAAAAATGCATTTTTAATCATTCAAATAATGGTAACACTTTACAGTAAGGTTCATTAGTTAACTACCGTTAACATTAACTAAGAATAACCAATACTTCTACAGCATTTGTTAATCTTTGTTAATGTTGATTTCAACATTTACTAATACTTTATTAAAATCTTGTTAACATTAGTTAATGCACTGTGAACTAACATGAAGAAACAAGCTGGATTTGTATTAGCTAACGTTAACAAAGATTAACAAAAACGGTTACAAATGTATTGCTCATGGTTAGATCATGTTAGTTAATACATTAATTAATGTATAATAAATGAACCTTATTGTAAAGTGTTACCCAAATAATATTTCCTTTTATTATTTATAACACAAAATATAAAGAAATACATCTTCAGTCATGATGTTTTTAAAATACAAAGTACAAATAAATCAACTGCTAATTTACCAGTATATATTTCAACATGCATGTAAAAATTAGAATAAAGCTCTGATAATATTTGACTTTAAATGCATCTTACACAGTACTCTGAATCAGCTAAAAAACAAGATGAGATATGAAAATCTGTAGAAAGATCTTGTAAACCTGCATTTAAAAATGTAATAATGTCAAATACAGTGCTTGATACTGCATAGGAGATTCTGTATACTACAAACAGTCAGATTGATAAAACATCGCACAAGTCTCAGTGCAACACTCATGCAGAGACAAACATCTCAAAGCAAAGGTTTCCACGTGGCATTAAGATCATTAGTGTGTGTGTGTGTGTGTGTGTGTGTGTGTGTGGCCAGCCGACTAGCGAGCGTCTGCCGCTTATAATGGATTTTTCCTTTCATTTCCTCATACATCCCTCTCTCGGGAGAACACGCCAGACCCCGTCGAGGGATGCAGCGCTGAGTCTGAAGAAGAAGATCTCGGGCAATGGGCAAACAGGAAAGCAAAATACATATTAGCAAACAAAACATGATCAGATGGCATGAGATGCCTTGCTTTGTTGAACGCTGTTTGAACTGGAAGTGCAAAAGAAACAGCCGATCTGGAAAGTTGATGTTGCGTGTGTGTTTTCAGACGCTGGTGTCCTTGACTGTGTGTGTGCTGCACACTGGGATCTTGTTTGGATCCAGAGTTTTAGTGTAGTGGGAGTGCCAGTCTCGCTCAAACACAGCTTTCATCCGCTCCACCACAGTGTTGTTCTGGGCGAGCCGCTGCCGGATCACCACACCGACGCCGGCGCTGAAGGCCATCTCCTGCCCCACCCAGTCCAGATTCCCTGCGGACACAGAGACGGGTTTAGGAGAAGCTCAAACACGGTTACGTCAGCGGCGGGCGTCCTCACCGAGATACACAGAGCTGTCCGTCACCATGAAGCGGCTGCGGCTGATCCTGGAGAGACGTCCATCGCTCTGCTCACGGGGAACGAAGAACTTCTACAAGAACAACAGTACAGCGCTCTGTAGAAAACCATCGTGATGTTAACGGTAAAAGACTGTACAAATGCTAAGGTGAAAAACTGTGAAAAACACCAAGTAACTTTCGCCCTACTGGTTGGAAGCGGAATTGTCCATTATCGTAAATAATTTAGCCAACCGCATCCCACTTCTCTCCTCTACTAGCATTACTTGATTCATGAAGATAAATGGAGGACCAGATAGTTTCCATAACACAGCCAGACAGACAACAAATTAGAAAAACCAAAGATAATAGGCTATGCAAGCAATATAGTTACTAGTCCAACAGCATGACGGCAAAGTCAGCATCGTTGAGGAACCCCTCCTCCCCCTTAAAGGAGTAGTTCACTTTTGAAAAGCTTTTGCTGATAATTTACTCATCCCCATGTCATCCAAGATGTCCATGTCTTTCTTTCTTCAGTCGAAACGAAATTAAGGTTTTTGATGAAAACATTCCAGGATTTTCTCCATATAATGGACTTCAATGGGAACCAAACGGTTCAAGGTCCAAAGGACTTCAAATGACACCAGACGATGAATAAGGGTCTTATCAAGCGAAACGATCGCTCATTTAAAAAAATAATAACAAAGTTTAAGTTTTATAAGCTCAAACTGTTCTGTGATGCACGTTCGTGACTCTCCTGTTCGAACTCGTTTATCAAAATGAACAAATCTTTTTTTGGTGTCATTTGGTTCATTCAACGAACGAAATGAAAGAATTGACTCGGGAAAAGATTTGTTTATTTTGACGAACGAGTTCGAACAGGAGAGTCACGAACGTGCATCACAGAACAGAGCAAGGTGAGCATTTGAGCTTATAAAACTTTATTATTTTTTTTTAAATGAGCGATCGCTTCGCTTGATAAGATCCTTATTCATCGTCTGGAATCGTTTAAAGCCCTTCGAACAGTTTGCGCTGAAACTGTCTTTTGGACCTTGAACCATTTGGACCCCATTGGAGTCCATTATATGGAGAAAATCCTGGAACGTCTCCATCAAAAACCTTAATTTCGTTTCGACTGAAGAAAGAAAGACATGGACATCTTGGATGACATGGGGGTGAGTAAATTATCAGCAAAAGTTTTTTTAAAAGTGAACTACTCCTTTAAGCTCACGCCAGCGAGCAAACACTGGCCCAATATTGATCCTTGCTTTATCACTCAGTCTTTTCCTCTTTTTTCTGTCTCCTCAGACAAAACCTTTCTCTTCTTATTTTTTTTAATCACTTCGGCCATGACAAAAGCAAACGGAAAACAAATGCTGGTTGGTTACTCACATCCGAATTTAAGGAAGTAGTGAGGGAAGTGACGTATGCCGTAAAGTATGTTTTTTTTGTAGTTTTTTTTGTGCACGGGTTCCTCCCCGAAACCCAAAGTTACACAGTGCCAGTAAAAGCAATACAGACCACGTCAGGCTATGGCAGATCTGTCATTTCTCTTATTTTAAGTCGATGTACCATCACCAGGGTCTTGGAAATATATTATGAAGGTTGATAATCATCATTTTGAATGAATTGTTTGATTTAATGCCAGCCATCTATCGCCACCTACTGGTGATGATAACCTGCAAAATGAGTTTCGCTTTTTCTTTCATAATGAACTACAACAATAGCCTTTGCCATGTGAGTGTGTTAATCTGTGGTGAACACACACACTGACCGCCTCCAGTGAGCATCTGAGCGACTCTACACACAGCGCTTTCAGCGACCACAGAAAGTTACGCGTCAGCGGCTCGGTCTCGTCCCCGCAGCTGATCAACACTCGCACCTCGAGCCTTGCCTTCAGGACCAGGGCTTCTCGGAGCATGTTGTCAATCAGCGACCAGTACCTGTGAGGAACACAGCACACGCGTGAACAGAACAGGTTAGGGTCAGGGATAGGGATAAGTTACCGTTAGGGTCAAGGATAGGGATAAGTTATGGTTAGGGTCAGGGATAAGGACAAGTTACGGTTAGGGCCAGGGATAGGGATAAGTTACGGTTAGGGTCAGGGATAGGGATAAATTACGGTTAGGGTTAAGGATATGGATAAGTTATGGTTAGGGTCAGGGATAGAGATAGCGATAAGTTACGGTTAGAGTCAAGGATAGGGATAAGTTACGGTTAGGGTCAGGGATAAGGATAAGTTACAGTTCGGGTCAGGGATAGGGATAAGTTACGGTTAGGGTCAGGGATAGAGATAGGGATAAGTTACGGTTAGAGTCAAGGATAGGGATAAGTTACGGTTAGGGTCAGGGATAGGGATAAGTTACAGTTAGGGTCAGGGATAGGGATAAGTTACGGTTAGGGTCAGGGATAGGGATAAGTTACGGTTAGGGTCAGGGATAGGGATAAGTTACGGTTAGGGTCAGGGATAGGGATAAGTTACGGTTAGGGTCAGGAATAGGAATAGGGATAAGTTACGGTTAGGGTCAGGAATAGGGATAGGGATAGGTTACGGTTAGGGTCAGGGATAGGGATAAGTTATGGTTAGGGTCAAGGATAGGGATAAGTTACTGTTTAGGGCCAGGGATAGGGATAAATTACGGTTAGGGTCAGGGATAGGGATAAGTTACGGTTAGGGTTAAGGATAGGGATAAGTTACGGTTAGGGTTAAGGATAGGGATAAGTTACGGTTAGGGTCAGGGATAGGGATAAGTTACGGTTAGGGTCAGGGATAGGGATAAGTTACGGTTAGGTCAGGGTAGGGATAAGTTACGGTTAGGGTCAGGGATAGGGATAAGTTACGGTTAGGGTTAGGATAGGGATAAGTTACGGTTAGGGTCAGGGATAGGGATAAGTTACGGTTAGGGTCAGGGATAGGGATAAGTTACGGTTAGGGTCAGGGATAGGGATAAGTTACGGTTAGGGTCAGGGATAGGGATAAGTTACGGTTAGGGTCAGGGATAGGGATAAGTTACGGTTAGGGTCAGGGATAGGGATAAGTTACGGTTAGGGTCAGGGATAGGGATAAGTTACGGTTAGGGTCAGGGATAGGGATAAGTTACGGTTAGGGTCAGGAATAGGAATAGGGATAAGTTACGGTTAGGGTCAGGAATAGGGATAGGGATAGGTTACGTTAGGGTCAAGGATAGGGATAAGTTACGGTTAGGGTCAAGGATAGGGATAAGTTACGGTTAGGGTCAGGGATAGGGATAAGTTACGGTTAGGGTCAGGAATAGGGATAAGTTACAGTTAGGGTCAAGAATAGGGATAAGTTACGGTTAGGGTCAGGGATTGGGATAAGTTACGGTTAGGGTCAGGGATAGGATAAGTTACGGTTAGGGTCAGGGATAGGTTACGGTTAGGGTCAAGAATAGGAATAAGTTACGGTTAGGGTCAGGGAGGGATAAGTTACGGTTAGGGTCAGGAATAGGGATAGGTTACGGTTAGGGTCAGGGATAGGGATAAGTTACGGTTAGGGTCAGGAATAGGGATAGGATAGGTTACGGTTAGGGTCAGGGATAGGGATAAGTTACGGTTAGGGTCAGGAATAGGATAGGGATAAGTTACGGTTAGGGTCAGGGATAGGGATAAGTTACGGTTAGGGTCAGGAATAGGGATAAGTTACGGTTAGGGTCAGGATAGGGATAAGTTACGGTTAGGGTCAGGAATAGGGATAGGGATAAGTTACGGTTAGGGTCAGGATAGGGATAAGTTACGGTTAGGGTCAGGGATAGGTTACGGTTAGGGTCAAGAATATAGGATAAGTTACGGTTAGGGTCAGGAATAGGGATAAGTTACGGTTAGGGTCAGGAATAGGGATAGGGATAAGTTACGGTTAGGGTCAGGAATAGGGAAGTTACGGTTAGGGTCAAGAATAGGGATAAGTTACGGTTAGGGTCAGGGATAGGGATAAGTTACGGTTAGGGTCAGGAATAGGGATAAGTTACGGTTAGGGTCAGGAGGGATAGGATAAGTTACGGTTAGGGTCAAGAATAGGGATAAGTTACGGTTAGGGTCAGGGATAGGGATAAGTTACGGTTAGGGTCAGGGATAGGGATAAGTTACGGTTAGGGTCAAGAATAGGGATAAGTTACGGTTAGGGTCAGGGAATAGGGATAAGTTACGGTTAGGGTCAGGAATAGGGATAAGTTACGGTTAGGGTCAGGGATAGGGATAAGTTACGGTTAGGGTCAGGGATAGGGATAAGTTACGGTTAGGGTCAGGGATGGATAAGTACGGTTAGGGTCAGAATAGGGATAGGGATAAGTTACGGTTAGGGTCAGGGATAGGGATAAGTTACGGTTAGGGTCAGGAATAGGGATAGGGATAAGTTACGGTTAGGGTCAGGAATAGGAGATAGGGATAAGTTACGGTTAGGGTCAGGAATAGGGATAGGGATAGGTTACGGTTAGGGTCAGGGATAGGGATAAGTTACGGTTAGGGTCAGGAATAGGGATAGGGATAGGTTACGGTTAGGGTCAGGGATGGATAAGTTACGGTTAGGTCAGGAATAGGGATAGGGATAAGTTACGGTTAGGGTCAGGGATAGGGATAAGTTACGGTTAGGGTCAGGGATAGGGATAAGTTACGGTTAGGGTCAGGATAGGGATAAGTTACGGTTAGGGTCAGGATAGGGATAAGTTACGGTTAGGGTCAGGAATAGGGATAAGTTACGGTTAGGGTCAGGGATAGGGATAAGTTACGGTTAGGGTCAGGGATAGGGATAAGTTACGGTTAGGGTCAGGGATAGGGATAAGTTACGGTTAGGGTCAGGAATAGGATAGGGATAAGTTACGGTTAGGGTCAGGAATAGGGATAGGGATAGGTTAC